CGTTCCTCCTCCGTCTCCTCGTCTCTTCGTCTCGCAAATTCTGCTGGTTGGGACCCTGTTCCTCGTTTGCGTTCCTGTCACACTTGTTCACACACACACACACACACATACACTTTGCAGATGGCGTTTGGGGATCTGGCGTTGCACTCATTCCCTGGTGTACACAGACCACGTACGAAACAAGAAGGAGGAGAGCAACGAAAAGAACAACCACCACCACCACCACCGATGGCACACTTGCCACCTGGTGTGGATGCCGCCGCTTGCCCTCCTCGCCTCTCGTCCTCACAGCGCTCGGCTTTGTCATCCGTGCAATCGCGCCAGCAGACTGGGTTGTATTGAAATGATTGCAGCCAGGCAAGGCTTTAACAAGAAACACAACGAGCAGTTGGCATGGCATGACGTGACACGAATGTGAGACAGTGAGTTGACACAGACACAGGCTGAGACAATGTCACACACAGACAGACAGACAGACAGACAGACAGACAGACAGACAGACAGACAGACACACACACACACACACACACACACACACACACACACACACACACAGACAGACAGACACATAGACACACGCACACGCACACCCACCAAACGAAATTTTTATTTATTTTTTTTCTCCCGCGAAATTTGAAAAGCGCAAGAGTCAGAAACACGAGAGACACAGACACAGACAACACACACACACACACACACACACACACACACACACACACACACAGCGACCCCCCCCCCACACACACGTTGCGTGTGCTGTGCCCGTCTTCTAACACGCTGAGCTTTGTTTTGTGCATTTGCCAACATCACATTGCAGCACACGGCGGCGATGGTGCAGAGGGTGTGGATGTGATGCCGTACTTCTCCACGACCGCCTTCACTGGTTATGACGACAGCCCCCAGGTTCGGTCTGTGCTCGTGCCTGTTCAAACTCAACCTGATGCGTTTGAATGTCATGGGTGTGACCTTACTTCTACCGTGCTTCTCCCATGTTTCCTGATACGTCAGGGCTTCTACACCGTGTATCGAGAGCTTTTCCAGCGCATTGTTGAAGATGAACAGCTCATCATGAAGCTCTCCAGCGACAAGGATATTCCCAGCTTTGGTGTGTGTGCGCGCACATGCGTGTACATGTGTGCTGCTTGTGTCGTTGAGAACAGCCAACAAACAAACCGCATGTGATGGCCGCTCCTTTTAAGCTGTTGTCGTGTCGTCCTTGGTTGCGTTCACCACCCTGCTTCGCCACCACCACCACCACAGGAGACAGCAGGAGTAATGTCCAGAAGGTCGTCCGGCCATTTTATAAGCACTGGGATGCATTCACCACGCGTCGCCATTTTCATTCATGCGATAAATGGGACCTTCGCGACGTATGTTGGGCTGTGATGCTTTTGTCTGCCTTTGCTTGCATGGCCTCGTCTTGTGGTTCACCCTGGCTGGCGTTCTTGTGACAGCGTGTCACTTCCATGCTGGAGGCCAACAGGAGCGCTTGGTCTTCCTTGCCACATTTGTGCGCGGCGCGGAGTACATTGCCGTGTGCGTCACAGTGACGATTCGCTTGTGTTGCGCTGATGTGTCGCTTGTCCCATCTGCTGCTGGTGATATCGCAGGCACCCAACCGCCGCGTGCGCCGGCTGATGGAGAAGGAGAACAAGAAGTTGCGAGCGACTGCAAAGAAGGAATATGTGGCCACTGTTCGGGTGAGCGATCAAGTGGTTTCTTGCGTCTGTGCATCGGAATGCCAACTGCTGAAGCGTGCTTCGTTTCAGTGTGTACGTCTCATGTCTCTTTGACTTGCCTTGCTTGTGCGCACCTGACCCACAGCAACTTGTGCGCTTTGTCAAGAAGCGCGACAAGAGGTATCAGCGCTACCTGGAGGAAGTGCGCGAACAGCGTGAGCGAGCACAACAGGAAGAGCAGCGCAGACAAGAAGCAAAGGTTGGCTTGCCCCACTTGCGATGTACGCATGCTGTGAGCGCGCGCTCTGTGCATCTGTCTGTGCCTGCCGTGTGCTTACTGCGCGTGTGCGCTGCGTCATCCGTGTGGAATGTGGTGCTGCTGGACTCTCGCCTGTTTTCAAATGCATTGCGTCCACTCCTCTTCGCCAGGAAAAGCGCCTCGCCGAAGAGCGTGCGCGACAAGAAGAACGGCTGGTGGCTCAGGCACAGCGCGTGATGGCAGACCGGGAGGATGATCTTAGCGCCCTTGACGCGTACTTTGATCAGCAGTTTGGTGCGTGAGCCAGTGAATGCGACTGTTTCTGTCCCACCCTCTTTCCCGAGTGCCCTCGTTTGCTTGCGTGTATCGTATCTCATGTCCTCCTTTTGCCTTTTGCTGTGTCTTCGGCGAGCACGATTGTCTGTTGCGCTCGTTCCACCGCACGCACCTGATTCATTATGGTTGGTTTCTTTGAACTCCCAGGCGATGCTGATGAGGAAGATGACGCTGCGGAACGGCACGAGTGTGTTGCGTGCAATAAGGTCTTCAAAGCAGCCAAACAGTACGTTGGGCAGACGCGTGACTTTGCAGGAAACGGCGAGAGATTTGCACTCGTCAACTGACTGCGCGTTGGCTCCTGTCTCTATCACTCGCTTTCCACGCACACACACATGCACACACGCACACACATGTGCAATGCAGGCTGGCGAATCACGAGCGGTCAAAGAAGCACAAACAGAAGGTGGAGCAGTTGAAGCGCGATCTGCTGGCGGAAGACGATGCTGCGGCGGAGATGGATGTGGCTGTCGGGGACGATGAGCGCGGGCTGGGTGGCCTGAACACAGACGACGTGGACGGTGATGATGATTTCTTGGATGAACTTGAGCAGCTGAGCTTGCGGGCCTTCTTGGACGAGGAGGAAGAAGAAGCAGAGGAGGAAGAAGAGGAAGACCAAAGCGAGCAGGAGGATGAGGAGGAAGAACAGGAAGAAGAGCAGGAGGAAGAGCAGGAAGAAGAGGAAGAGGAGGAGGATGAGGATGAGGATGAGGATGAGGAGGATGCAGTCAGAATGGAGGTGCAGTATGCTCGGGCATCTGAAAGCGACGGCGAAGGTGAGGGCGATGAGAACGTAGCTGAGGGTGCGACGGAAGCTGCTGAACCATCCGATGGCCAGCCATCTTCGTCCCGACGCCGGCGTCGCCGTCGCAAAGTAGGAGAGAATGAGAGGGATTGCTTGGGGATGGGCTGGTGGAGGCAATGCTCACACCCAGAGAATACGAGGGAAGCAGACACACACACACACACACACACACACACACACACACACACACACACACACACACACACACACACACACACGACAGGCAGACCCCCCCCCCCAACACCACACATATTCTCGACCACACTGTCATAGTCCTGTTTTGCTCATTACCTTCACACGCTGCCTTGAACGTCTCGAATAGGACAAGAGCAAACAACCAGCCGTCAAGCCTACACAGCCAAAGGACACAGAGGTGAGATGATCGTTGTTCGATCATGTTGAATCTTGTGTTGCTCTTGCGGCTTGTGTGGGGCTCCAAAGTCCAAATCATCTCAACTCGCTGGTGCATGCGCGCGCGTTTGTGTATTTCGGGTTAGGGATTGGCTTGCAACGTGTGCGGCCAAGGGTTTTCGAGCAGAAACAAGCTTTTCCAACACATCAACACCACCGGGCACGCGCTCCACCCGAGTGAGTTGTGCTGCGCAGTCGCAGACAGCACACCGTGTCGTGTGGCCTGCCAGTACAGTTGCGACCCAACCGCATTATGTTCACTTGCACGGCACGCTCACGGCTGTCTGTACATGCTGGATGCTTTTCTGCCACAGAGTACGCCAAGCAGCAGCAGCAGCAGCAGCAGCAGCAGCAGCAGCAGCAGCAGCAGCAGCAGCAGCAGCCGCCGGCGGAGAAAGCACGAGAAGAGGAGTCAGCAGAAGCGCCCCAATCGTCGCGTGTGCAACAGAGGCGGCAGCGCGGCAGGAAGCAGGGCGGGCTGCTCCCAGGGAATGACATCAACGCCCAGGATGACGACGATGATGACGATCCGTGGGCTGATGGTCCGCGCGGGAAGCGCGGGCGGAGAAAGCGCAAGGGCAGGCGCTGAAGTAGCACAGGTCTGCACTCGTCTTGATTTCGCATCACACACACGCCCGCACACGCCCGCACACGCCCGCACACGCCCGCACACGCCCACACACATACACACACACACACACACACACACATACACACACACACGCACACACACACACACACGCACACACACACACACACACACACACGCCATCTCTCTCCATGTGCATACATTGTCTATGAGTGTACGTGCGTGCGCGTGCGTGTGTGCGTAGCGGCCCAGGCGTCGGCAGTCGCAAACACGTGCGTTTCGTGCCAGCGTTGGCCAGCTGTCACTTTTACTTGTGAGTGCACGGGCACATGTGTGTGTGTGATTCCATGGCTTGCATATTTCAAACAGGCATAGACAAACATACACTGAATCAAAGATGCCAGTTGTGACCACATCATCAGCATGCGTGTTGTGGCGAAGCACAACCACGCAGGCACACACACACACACACACACACACACACACACACACACACACAGGCACACACACACAAACACACACACACACACACACACACACACACACATACACCAGCAAGGGGGAGAAGAGGCGGCAAACGCCAGAGAAGAAGGAACAAACGGCGAAAGCGCTTTTCGAGTAGCAGAACAAGTGGTGGGGGATTTCTGGTCAAAGTTGTGCGCGCAAGAGAACCACACATTCACGTGCCGCGTCCATGCCGATGCATCAGATACTCGTACGCTTTTGTCATTTCCTGCTCGTGTGCATGTGTGAGTCGGGGTGTTTGGGGTGAGTGAATGGGTGAGACAGTGGGCAAGTCAGGCGCATGGGCAGTTCATATGATCCCGCAAGCAACGACGGTTGATAGCTCACCATGAATTGGGCTGCGCATTCCTCCGTTGGGCACCTGTGCAGTGACAGCAACACCTGCGTGAGGACACGTTTCAAAAAGCAATGGCGGCATGCAACCGCGATTACCATCGCTTCAAGAACAAGCAAGCAAGCAAGCAAGCAAGCAAGCACGCATGCAGAGGACAAATGCGAACTTGTCTGGGTGGAGGTGGCGTGCGCGGCGACGGTACGCCGTCTTAATCTCCCGGATGGACGCCCCCGGTGCAAGGTCAAGCGTTGACAACGCCCTGGAGACACACACACATGCACACACACATGCACACGCACATGCACACGCACACACACACACACACACACAGACACAGTGGTGCACATTCAGTGTGGATGTGTGTGAATGAAGAGAACGTGAGTGTTGTGGCATTCATCTTCTCCCTCACCCAGCCTTTCTCAATCATCATCATCACCATCACAAGCCACGTGTGGCGGTGTGGAACCTACGAGTCAGCTCGCGCAGAGGGCCCCTCGATGGCTTCCCAGATTTGTCGCTTGCACTCGTCAAAGTCTGCCGAGCACTGGATGTAGAAGAGATAAAACGCCTGCTTGTGCTCCTCCCACTGCGGCGAGTTGATGTACACGTAGCAGTGGCCGGCAACTGTGTCCTCCTTCTCGTTGAGTTCGATGCGCGAGTGGAACGCAAATGCGCTGGTGACGAGCGCCCAGAAGAGGGCAACGCGGAAGAAATAGCGCAGCGCACGCCACCACCCCGACGGCCTGGCGTGGCGGGGGAGGTGGCGGAGGAGGAGTTGGGGGGGGGGGGGGGAGGAAGGCAGTGATGACAGGGCAGGCGATAAGTGTTACAGCATGTCGCACGCGGAACGCAGGTGGGTGGGGTGGATGAACCCGGCGTCACACCTGAAACGGCTGATGAACACAGACACAGACACAGACATACATACATACAAACACACATACAAACACACATACAAACACACACACACACACACACACACACACACACACACACACACACACACACACACACACACACACACACACACACAAAAGATGCGGCGCACCGTGGGAGCGCGGCCATTTCCTGTGGAGACAGGTAGCGGCGAGACCACGCGTAGGCGGCGATGGCCACGACGGCCACCCAGAAGCACGACCCGGCGTCCCCGTACTTGACGTGATCCACCTCCCCAGCTGCAGCGGGCCAGAACAGCATAGCAGGTGAGCGGCAGCAGCACTGAGGAGACGGTGTTGCATGTGAGAATTGATACCAGTTGTGGCTCATCACCAGACCTTCGTCACGAAGCGCAGCGGCGAGGAGAGCCTCCATGACCATTGCGCCAATGAAGGCACCGCGCGTGTTGCCCTGGTTGTCGTGGAGTTGACGCACAAGGTCGTGCAGAGGTGTTAGCAGCGTCCAGGGCGAAGGATCGCAGGTTGTGGAAGTAAGGGCACAACGGCACAGGCTTGAGCAGATAAGCAACACGGAAAGAGAGACAAAAGCGACAGAGAGAGAGCGACCTCATGTAACTTCACACACACACACACAGACACACACACACACACACAGACACACACACACACACACACACACACACACACACACACCTTTCTGTATCCGAGGTCACCAATGTTGGCGACCGTCCACGCAGCGGCGAGGCCTCCGAATATGCCGGCGATTCCAGTTGGCCACGGCAACGAAAACTGGTGTTCCGCCATGCAAGTTCGTACACATACGAGTACAGCGTCAGCCACTGCACAAAGTGAAACAAAGCCAACTCCTCAAACTCCACGCCACACAGACAAACAGATGGACAAACACAGGGCCCGGAGACAGACAGACAGACAGACAAACAGACACACACACACACACACACACACACACACACACACACACACACACACACACACACACGCACAAGTACACCAGCACGTCACGATGCGACTCACCCGCGGGTCTTGGGGAACAGCCCAAAAGGCAATGAAGCGCAGGTACATGGCAAAGATCAGCTGGCCAATTGTTCGCACGGCGAGGACGGCTGTAAATGGTGTACAGGACAATGGCGTGAGGGAGGAATACAGGCTTGTCAATGCAGCGCCAGCGTGAGGCATCACGAACAGCAGGGAACACAACAACGGCCGTGCTAGCAATCAGGGGACCTGGTTTTCGACTCGCTTGCAGCAGCTGCCGGCGGTTCACCATGAACACGGATGTTTTGTTGACCTCCTGCACGCGCACAGCACCCCGGGACGAGCGGCATTTGGTGGGATGTATCACAGAAAGTGCAGGGGAGATCAGCACGGTCGTGTGTGGTGGTGCATGTGCGTCTGAATCAGGCAGAGCTCGCTGTCACAACCGCAATGAGGGACTTGAGTGTCTGTGTCTGTGTCTGTTCGCGTGAACTCGTTCGCCTGTGCACGTGCCAGCACATGGCTGTGTGTGTGATGCGTGTGTGACGCAGTTATGACTCGCGGTCTTGTTAGCACTTGAACAAGCATGTATGGCGCCGCGAGAGCAGCAACACGTACGTCCAAATATGTGTTGATGCGGAACATGTCGTAAATCAGGCCAATGCCAAATCCTCCAAAGCTAATGGCCCAAAGGAATGCTGCCACCAAAACGGAACGGGAGGGAGGCATGAGCGGCCAAGCAAGCAGGGACACCTTTGTGACGCCACAACCCAACGTCCCACAACAGCACACTCCCTGACGCAGCGACAGACACAGCACACCTCACACATGCACATACACAAGATACAAACACACACACACACACACCACACAGAGTTGCGCAGTTGCCCATCCAATGGGTTACCTTGGAAGTCTCGCTTGAGATAGTAATGGTGTGCACCAAAGCCACCAAACAGCAGCCAGCGCACCCACACCCCAAACGATGTGCGCTGTGGCTCCCTGCGCCGACCTTCCCCTGCCATCATGCGTGCGGGCTGTTGCAGTGGTTCTTTGTTTTGGTTGTGGGATGTGTCAGACAATTCGGAAAAGTGTCGGGCATCTCAACAAATCATCTGCTCTGTGTGTGTGTGTGTGTGTGTGTGTGTGTGTGTGTGTGTGTGTGTGTGTGTGTGTGTGTGTGTGTGTGTGTGTGTGTGTGTGTGTGTGTGTGTGTGTGTGGTGCAAACGGTGGGCTGGGTGGTTGTATTCGGGCATAAGCTTATGCGTTACGCGAAGCGTGCTGCCATCACAGCACAAAAACTGGTCAGCCCACACAGGCGAAACAAAACTGTGGTGATAAAGGATACACACACAGACACACACAGACACAGACACAGACACAGACACAGACACAGACACACACAGAGCTGCAGCAGGCATCAATGGTGGTCCTAAAACTCCCATGCGAGCGGGTCATCATAACTGTGCGCAGGAGGCAAAACGAACAACGACAAACGTCAGCAGCAGGGGTGAGATGAAATGCGGCGCAACCCTCATGCGCAGCGTCATGTGCAAGTTGGGTAACACCGCACGCAATCAACAATTCGAGGGACACACACGCACACACACCAAATTCCACCAATAACGTGCCCTGCACACAAGCACACAACGAACAAATGCACGAAAGAACGAGCGAACGAAACACACATGAATGCACACAATCAAGGCTTCAATCCCCCACATACACACACGACACACAGACACACCAACGACGTACAATTGCCGCCTGTGCTCGGCGTCATCGTCATCATCGTCAGAGCTGTCGCCTTCATCTGCGTGTTTGCTGTCAAAGGTGTACGTCTTCAGCAACTGGCACAGCTTCTTGGTGTTCTTTGCGCCTTTGATTGGCTTCACCTTGAGCATGTGCTCGGCAGTCGCCCGCTGCACACACATTCACGGACGAGACGGGAGACGCGCGTTGAATGTGTGTGTGTGTGTGTGTGTGTGTGTGTGTGTGTGTGCACGTGGGTATGTGTTGGGGCACAGATGTGAGTAAGAAGTGGATGCGAATGCAAGAGCGCTTACACCAATGAACATGCTTCGCTTCCATATGGGAGGGCGGGGGAAAGTACAAGGGAAAGCGCATGACCAGCTCTGTGTGTGTGTGTGTGTGTGTGTGTGTGTGTGTGTGTGTGTGTGTGTGTATGCGTTGAGTCACACAGACAGACAGATTGGCAGAAAGACGGTGACAGAAGCAGACAGACACACACACACACACGCACACACACAGACACACACGCACACACACAGACACACACACACACCTGCTGCGGGTCCTTTGTGAGCATCTTGCAGCAGCAGTCGGCGTAGGGGCGTGTGTGCTTGACTTGCAGCGTGGGGGGATCGTTGGCAGCAAGCAGCTGCATCGCCTTCAATGGGTGCTGGTCCGAATACGGCGGCGATCCAGACACTGCACGCAGCAGCCGCGGGGGGGGGGACGCCAATTCCCACATCACACAGTGGAAGTGAACAGCAGGGCGAGGGAGATCGAAGGGTTACTCAGAGCAAAAGTCATCAGAAGGCGATGGAACAGCAGCAGGAGCTGGGCAACACCAGCACAGCACGCCACCACACCTAAACACCAGGGGATGTGTGCAGATGCACCAAAACACGCACACAGACACGCTACAAGCAGGAACATAACGCCATACACGCACGCTCGCGCACGTACACACAGACACACACACATACACAGACACACATGCGCACACAGACACACACTCACAACCACACACAAACACACACACACACACACACACACAAACACACACACAAACACACAACACACTCACCCAGTTCGATAGCAACAATGCCCGCAGACCAGATATCACTGGCGGAGCTCACGCCCTTCCGGCGGATAATCTCTGGTGCCATGTACAGCGGCGTGCCTGCAAACTGCTTTGCATGATTGTTGCCGTCCGCCGGCCGAGGCCGAGCAGCGGGGGGCAGCCAGTCCTCGTAGCATGACGGCGCCGACGTTGTTGGAGCGCTGGACTGTGTTTGGGCGGGCGCGTCGGTCTCGGGCGTGGAGGCGGCGCCCACTTGGCCCACTATTGCCACGCCAAAGTCACACAGCTTCACAACGCCGTCGTGTGTCAAGAGGAGGTTGTTGGACTTGATGTCGGAGTGAATCCACCCAAAGGCATGCATGTATGCCAGGCCCTGGATAAAGCCAAGGGCAAGCACATGTGTGTGTGTATGTGTGTGTGTGTGTGTGAGAGAGAGAGAGAGAGAGAGAGAGAGAGAGAGAGAGAGAGAGAGAGAGAGAGAGAGAGAGTGTGTGTGTGTGTGTGTGTGCGTGTGTGTGTGTGTGAGTGAGTATGTGAGTAGGTGCGACACGATGGGCTCTGCGAAGGATAGGAATCCTCCGCTGCCGATCCACAAGTACACACACACACACACACACACACACACACATGTGCACACAATTATACAATCACGCAAGTATACAATCACACACGCACCTGGAGCATGCCGCGTAGAATGATGGCTGCGACTGCTTCTGAGAGGGGTCCTTGGGCTTTGACAATATCGGCAACGGAGCCAGCAGAGGCCAGCTCCATGGCCATCCACAGCCGCTTTCCTCTCAAAGTGGCCGAATGCAATCGCACTAGATTCTCGTGTTTGCTCATGCGCATCACCAGCACCTCCCTCTGCGCGCAGCACGTGGCGTCATCAGACACAGGCAGACGAGCGCCACCATGTGAGTAAGTGCATGGATGTGATTGCGTCAAGATGAAGAAAAAGGCAGATCAAATCAACAAACACCGTGCTGCAAAGCCTGCAGTGTTCAATGTATGCATGGGTTTACCGCAATGTCCTCGATGGCGACGGGTGTGTCCAGATCCAAGACCTTGACTGCAAAGTGAGGCGTGTGCTTCTCGTACCGGTGGCGGCATCGATACACCAGGGCAAAGTTGCCTTTGCCAATGCATTCGATGCGCTCAACATCCTCAAGCAACCGCCTGCTCATCTTGGCGTGAGCCTGTGTCGCTTGCAGAAGGCGTGCCCGTGTGTCTGCTTGTGTATGTGCGACAGTGACCAGGGAGATTCGGAGGGCGGGAGAGATTGGGGAGCAGAGGGGGAGGGGGGAGGTGTTGGTTGGTGTTGTCTTTGCTTCTTCCCGTTCTTCTTGTTTGTTTGTTTGTTTGGCTTGTAGATGTTTCTATGGAGATTTCAACAAATTCTCTACAATCATGCGTGGGTGTGAAGGATGGCACAACATGCACGCACGCACGCCATACACGCACGCGAACAGCAGGCAGCGATGACATGATGTGCCCATGCGAGTGCCACGGGCCTGTGAGTGTCACGGGCGTGTAAGGCGCCATGCGCGTGCGGTCGCCACGTGTAGCCACGCACTTACGCCATTGTTATCGTGATTTTTGCGTTTGTCTGTGGTCGTGAAAACACTTTCCAGCTTCTCATACACTTTTCCCTCGCACACACAAACACACTTGCTTCCTACTACCTGTGACAACACCTTCCAGCTGTCATTTTCCTTCAAGCACCTCTCCCACTCCCACTCCCACTCCCCTCTGCCCCCCCCCCCTTTGTTCACGAAGACGCTGCCCGTGGCCGTGTCCCATTTTTCCTTCGCTCCTCCTTCTACTTGCTTTTTCTCAGCCCACCCCGCCACCACGTGTGTTTCACTTCACCCATGTCAGTTTCGTCTACTGTGGCCGCCCTGCCCCCACAGCAAGGTCCCAGCCCCCCTTTGCCTAGATCACCTCCAGCCAATTCGCTCACAAGACCAAGACCAAGACCAAGACCAAGACATGAGGATCGTGGAAATTGGCGCCAACTTCATGTCCGTCATCCTCACGCACCTCCTGCAACTGGGCGTGCATCCGGACATGACGTTCTTGCAGCGGCAGGTGGCCATCACGGAGAACACCAAGAGCGTTCTTCGTTTTCTTCTCACCTTGGTGCACCACGTGTGCGGGCGCAGGAGCATGTGGCGTCGCTGCGCGTGAGTCGCTGCCCTGCGCTGCACACGGCGGTGCTCACGACAGACGTGTGCTGCGCTTTCATGGTGACCAAGTGCTCGGGCGCGAACACGGTGGTATTTGAGGGCGCGCGCCTCGGTGCCATGGAAGTCACCTCGTGTAGCGTGATGCTCATGCGGGTGACTGCCTTGGATCGATTGGGCAGCCTTGTTGTCCGCAACTGCCGCCAGCTGTCATCCCTGTACTGCACGCGCGACCCGGCATTGCGGCTCTGCTTGACCAATCTGCCACAGCTGCGCTTCGCAAGGATCCCCATGCTGGCATTCCGCCTGCTGCCGAGCGCAAAGCCGCGCCTTTTTGCTTCTGCCTCTAGTGGGGGCAAGCGCATGCGGGAGTTGAGAGTGCTCAAGTGCCCGTCGCTGCCACTGCTGCGGCTGCCGCCAGGCGACGTCTCTTCCATCAGCACATGCGCGCTGGATGTGGTGGTGTCGACTGCCGCTGTGTGCACGCTCGCCGAGTGCTGCGGCCAGCTTGAGCTGCGCGGTACCGCGGCGGCGACATTTGCGCACGACCCGCATCCGCTGCCGGCGATGGCCAAGGTGGTGCTGCTTGGCGTGCACTCTGACGAGCTGACCAGGACTGCTTCTCTGCCACGCGCCGTAAAGCGGTGTGATGTGGTGATGAGGCACGGCGGCTTTGACCCAACGGCGCTGCTGTTTGTGGCCGACATGCCCATCCGCGGCGACCCGGGCCTCTCGCTTCCCGTCGTGAGCGGACTGGATTTGCTGCCCCACACAACGCGAGTGGTGGTCAAGGAGTGCCGTGTCATGGGCGACATTGCTGCCTCACTCTCAGCCAAAGTGGTGCTTCGCGACTGCATTGGAACGGCCACCGTGATGGAGGCGCGCAAAGTGCACGTGTTTGGCCCGCGCATGCCCACCCTTGAGCTGCACGACGTTGAGCGTGTGGAGATGATGGGCGTTGACGATCTCAGTGTGGCCGAGACGGAAGACGTCGTGTCCATGAAGCTGGACGACTGCGAGTTTGAGGGCTTTGCCGAGCTGCGTGGCGTGCGTCGGCTGACGCTTTCACGCTGCATGTTCTACAACGTTCTGTCGCTGCCTTCGTTCAGCTACCTGCGCACCGTGCACTGCGCTGGTCGAGAGTGTGCAGACAACACCTCAGGGGCATGGCCATCGGTGTGCTTCCGCAACGAGCGCGCGGCGGTGATGCGAGATGCCCTGTCCGACGGTGGGCTGGCGCTCAACGAGGCTGAAGGTGATGATGATGATGATGATGATGATGATGATGATGATGATGATGGTGATGATGATGATGATGATGATGATGATGATGATGATGATGATGATGATGATGATGATATGATGATGATGAGGAGGAGGAGGAGGATGATGATGATGATGATGATGATGA